ATCCCCAATGCAACAGTGCTGGGAGATAGGGTCAATGGAGGGGTGTGTTTAGGTCATGAGGGCACCGCCCTCATGAATGGATTAACACTGATTATAAAAGAGCTTGGGTCTTTGAATTCAATCTCTTGCTCTCTCTCTCACCCTTCCGCCTTCTGCCATAAGATGATGTAGCAAAAAAAGACCTTGCCAGATGATGGCTCCACAACCTTGGACTTCCCAGCCTCCAGAACTGCAAGAAATAAATCTCTGTTCTTTATAAATGACCCAGTCTCAGGTATTGTTATAGCAGCACAAAATAGACTAAGACAATGCCCAAGGACAAATTCATGACCGTCTCCCCCAAAGCTGGTCCTTTTCCTGTACCCCTGTGCCAATGACCCGGTTATCCATCCAGGTGTGTAAGACAGAAGCCCAGGTGTCATCCTCTGATACCCAATCCACACCAGGTGCTGAGTGCTGACAATTCTACCCACTACATATATAGAAATTCCATTCCTCCTCCACAACACCCTCTAAAGTCTCCTTAATGCAGATCATCTCCTTGCTGGTCTCTCTCTATCCACCCTCACTCTTCAGTGTCCCTGCCCCCACCAATCCATTTTTCATCTACTCAAGAGAAATTGTGTTGATATAGAAATCTGATCATGCCAGTCCCCTGCTCAACACTCTTCCATAGCTTCCCACTCTCCTTAAGGGCCAAAACCCCCAATGGAGTCTCTTCTGCCTTGGACACTTAGCATGTATTTTCAGGGCCTGAGAGTGTGGAAGTCTTCCTGGAGTAGGTGGCCTTGGAGGAGTGGAGGGAGGAATATGGTGGGTACTGGGGGCTGGATTAGAAAAGCCCCAACTGGGCGACCCCATGAGGTTCCAGGGTGGGCATGAGGAAGCCTAAAGGGAAATGAGTCCTGAGAAGCAGAAGTCAGCAGCATCCCGCACCCAGGTCCTCCCTCAGGCCACCTAATTTCCTTTACACTGGCACCTAATGGAAGTGATTTAAGCCCAATTGAGTTTTAATGTGTCTGTTCTAGTCTAGCCTCAACTTGCTTCCCTTCTCGCAGAGTCTGTGGCTGCAGTAAGGGTAAGGGTGAGGGTGAGGGTGAGGGTGCACCCTTCCCCCAGAGCTGCTGAGGAAGGCCTGATACCAGTCCACAGGTCTCCTCAGGACCTTTCCCTACTTCCCCAACACCTCCTCCCTGCCCACCGGTATCCCCAGGATATGTGGAGCCCAGGAACCCTGGCTTTGGACCTCCCTTGTGCAGGCACTGTGCTGGCAACTTTCCCTCCTTCGCCTCCTCAAGCCCTCTCCATGGCCCCATAAGGCAGGCTGTGGGAAAGTACCTCCTTTTCACAGAGGGCACTGAATTCACTTGCTCAAGGTCACTGCCTTTGTTCTTCCTAGAGCTGTGCTGTCCAACATGGTAGCCTCATGGGAGTACTAAGCAGTCAGAAGGTGGTGAGACTGACTTGAGGTGCACTGTATGCATAAAACACACGAGATTTCCAAGACTTCGTATAAAAAAGAATGTTAAATATATCTCAGTCATTTTTTATATTGATTATATGTTGAAATGATCTTTTTTAATATATAGAATGAAATATATTAAAATGAATTTCACCTTTTTAAACTTTTAAATGGTTACTAGAAAATTCTAAATTACATATGTCGTTTACATTGTATTTTTATTGGACATGTCGCAGGGTCTTTTCTCATGAAGGTAGGGACAGTCTGCTCACCCTTGACCCTGCCAGTCAGGAAAGCAAGGAAAGGCTGCAGCTGAGCTTGTGTGGGCCTCTCAGTCTTGTCTCCTCATCCTTTGGGAGAAGACACGTCCCTTTCAGCACCCTGGACAGCATCCAGGGCTGGCTTCCCACTTGGGGTTGAGGAAGGAATAACTGTGGGAGGAGTAGATTAACACCTACAAAATGCTTCCCATGAATCATCTTAAGTCATGCTCCGGATATCCAGTGAGGAAGACTGGGTAGGGATTGTCATTATCCCAATTTTGCAGATGAGGAAATCAATGCTCAGGAAGATTTGTGTATTCCACCCTTCACCCACTAAAGATCCACTGATGCCTGCTTCATGTGGGCCTCTGAGCGCATAAACTGCAGTAAGGTCAACACAGATGACAGCAGTTCTGTGTGATCAGTGCAGCAGTGACAGTGCTGCCAAGGCCTGTGGGGGCCTAGAGAGTGCTGATTGCTGGGCCAGGCAGTTCACGGACAGCATCACACAGCGGGCTACTTGGGCTGGGTCTGGAAGGCTGAAGGAGAGTTTTCCCTCTGTGAGAAGGAGGGAGTTTCAGGCAGAAGGAATGGTACATGCATAGGCATGGAGGTCAGAGAGATGGGCCAGAGGAGGGAGGCAAGGGCCACATTGCCAAGGGCCTTGAACTCTAGGCTAATTCCAGGATCCACAGAAGGCGTCTGAGCAGTGGCCTGGCCAGATCTGCATTTTGGAAAGATCACTTGGGCCATGTGGATGAAGGGCTGGAGACTGGAGGCAGAGAAAATGAGGGCAATGATGTGAGAAATTTGAGTCCAGAAAAGAAATGACAGGTTGTTAGATATTAGCTCAAACGGAAGGGATATTGGACCAACTCATTTTGCAGATAGGGAAACCCAAGTCAGACAGGATCCAGTGGCCTGTCCAAGGTCACACAGCAAGTCAGTGCCTGGGAGAGCAGGGACTGAGGGCTAGGAAGGGACAAAGCCCCCAACCCAGGAATGCTAAGTGGCTGGTCCCAAAACCAGCAGAGGCCTCTGCTGGCAGCTGTGGTTTGTGTTTGAGCAGAATCAACAAGGTAAATACTAAACTTCCTCTTCAACCAGATGCAAAGCAGGAATGGACAGGAGGGCAGGGATGTGCACATTGCACCTCAGCCCCAGAGGGCCCCAGAGGTGGTGACCAGTGGAGCCCAAGACCACGAAGGAGGGAGGTGAGAGCACAGGACAAGGCACTAAGAGGGCCTTTAGGTGATGGTCAGAGGAAGGAATGGCCCAGGATGTGGAGCAGGGTCTGCTGGTACACGGTCCGGGATGGGGGCTTTGTTTGTGCAAACCCCCTTCTACAAACAGGCCCCCCCTTTCTCCCCCCTCTCCCTCTCCCCCAAGGTTCCTGATGGGACCGCCAATCACAGTGCCCCAGCCTCCTGCCTGGGGCCAGCCCGAGCTCTTCCTTCCTTGAGGGTTTTCTAATTGGGATTCAAGAGAGAAAGTTCCTTCCCCTCTAGGGGCAATGCTGAGTGATGGAGCTGGGAGGAGGAAGCCTGGCGGGCCCTGGGGGAAGAGGCTTTAAGGAATGAAGCTGACACACATTCCAGAGAATGCCAGGAAAGGATGAAACATGCAGTGGCACTCCTGATCCCAGGTCCTATCACCAAGGCCGGCCGCACTTGCCCACTGCTGTCCTTGCCACAGCATACTCCTGCGTGAACAAAGCTCCCAGGTGCCTAAGCTGGCTGGTATCAGATTCTGCCACTCCCAGCCACAAGTCCCAGTCACAAGCTGTGGGAACTTGGGAAAGTCATGTCCCCTCTCTGAGCCTCGATTTACTCATCTCTAAAATGGGGCAGTCACAGTACCTACCTTGAAGAATCAAATGAGGTAGTGCTTGAGTGAGCTCTGTGTACACTTAAGTGCTGGGGCTGCCCAAAGGGAGGGAGGCAGAGGAGTGACTCGCAGGAGCTCCGAGGGTCTAGGAGCACAGTCCTGAGTGGACTCTGCCTGCACGGCTCCTCTGACCAGGTCTCACAGCAGGCAGGATTGGAATGAGACCGAGAGCAAGCCTGTGCCATCAAGGCCTGCAAAACTCTGAAGAGGCCTCCACCCCTCCTCCAGCCCCCCTGGGCAGGCCAGTATCTGTGATACCCCCTACCCCAGCAGCCAGTCACTTCTGTCACTCCCACCCAGGCTGCCGCAGCACCTGGCCCTCCCTCAGCTCTCCAGGGACCTGTGTCTGTGTCTCTGAGTCCGTGGGAAGGGGCCCAGAGGCGCCCATGTTGCTAAATGACCAGGCGAGCAAGGACCTTTGACCCTGTTAACTGTGCCTCCGCTCCAGCTGCTGCCTGACTCGAGAAGATGTTCCCACATGTCATCCTGTGCCCCCTCTTTCCGGGGGCCTGAGAACTGAGCAAGGATCTGCTCACTCAGGCATGTAACGAATGCAACTCAGCACAAGCCTCCTGCCCCCGGCACCAAGCCAGCCTGGCTCCCGCACCCCACCCCACCCTAGCCCTGGCCTGGCCCAACACCTGCAGCCCCACCACAACCCAGCGCCTGAGGCCCCCCTTGCAGCCATGGTCAAGTTCCAGGAAGCTGAGCTGAAGCCCCACCTCCACCAAGCATGGGTTTGAAGTCCCAGCTCTGCCTGACTGTGGCCTTGAGCAGGGCACTTCCCATCTCTGGCCTCATCTTCCTATCCACAAAATGGGCCAACAACAGGGTTGTTACGAGGGGCCAGGGGACGTGTGTGAAGCTCCTAGCTTAGAGCACTGCATGAGACTGGTGCCATGTGGTAACAGCTAATCCTTCAAGAGCTTATCCTGTCCCAGGTATTTGCTGAGCACGTTATACATAGGAATTTGTTTCATCCCCGTAACAACCCTGTGAGGTGGGCATTGTTACCATCCCCACTTCACAGATGTGGAACCGAGGTCACTAAGCTCTGTCTTGGCTCTAGCCCAGGCAGTCTGGCCTCTGAGCCCCAGTGAATGGCAGCCATGACCATCACAGCCACCAGGGAAGGCCAGCCATAAGAGGTCCTCTCCCACACTCCCAATCTGCTTTCCCCAACCCAGATCGGGGAAAGGATGAGTCACCCAGAGAGTCAGGGACAAAGATGGGGTCAGAGCCTAGGCCGCCCCCTCCCAGGCAGGGCTGGCCCAACCCCATCACATAATCTGATGAGATCAAGTGAGTTCAACCCAGGAGACAGGAACAAAGTCAGGGTCCCAGAGCTGGGCCTTTACCTGAGGGAAGCAAACAGCTCAGCAGCAAAATCCACAGAGTGAAGTTTATTCCCAACAAAGTTCCCCTCCCCCCTCCCCAGCCCGGGACAGGGATGGACAGGCTGGGCTGAAGATGGGGTTCCAGTGGCTGAGGGGCCTCTGAGAAACAAGGAAGGGCCCTGGGCCCCTAGGCCAAGCCGTGTCTGGCTCCCCAAGCCTGGCTGAGTCCACGGCGCCTCCCTGCCCAGCCCTCGGGAGAGGGGAGAGGGTGCTGGCTCCTGGGTAGTTCCAAAGTGGAGTGTGAAAATAGAGAGATATATATATTTATATGCAGTGGGCAGTCCAGCGTGGCACTCACACCTCTGTCTGGAAGTCACCATCCGGTGGTTCTGTGGGCTCCCAGGCTGCTGTCCGATGCAGAGTCAGCCGTTCTCGGGGCTTGGGGGGCAGCGAGCCCAGTGTCATAGATTTGAAGGTGCTCCAGCTCTGATGGCGCCGATGTTGGGACAAGCTGGGGCGCTCCCCGGGGCTGGGCTTATCCTGTGGAGGGAGCGGGAGGGGCCGTGGAGATGGTCCAGTATCCTCACCCATTGTACAGAAGAACAAACTGAGGAGGCCCAGAGAGGGCTGGTAATGCCCAAAATTATGGAGCAATCAGGTGTCAAAGCAGAGTTCAAATACAGACCTGCCTGGTTCCAGGGTGGGGCTCCTGACCCCTGCCTGTTCTCAGTGGCCCCCGGGACATGTCTCCTGCTGACCACTCTCCCTCCCAATCCTGGAGGACCTCCACCCCTGTTCGCCATCTGCGGCACCTTCCCCACCCCCAGACGGCCCCAGACTGTTGCCCATGCCATGGGGGAGGCCCTTGGTGAGACAGGCTGGGGATGCCTGGGAGGGGCAGGAGGGCAGGGAGGGCACGGGTCCCTCAGGCCCACCTCACCACACCCAGCCCGGGGGGACTCACGGTGCACACGCTCCGCTCGGCCGCCCCACCCGAGGACACACTCCACCGCTTCTCCCTCTGCAACGGGGGCCACCGGTCAGGCTCCAACCCCAGGGGCTGCTGCACCAGGTCAGGCCCTGAGCTTCGGGGCAGGGGCAGCCATGGGAGGAGCCCTCACCTTGGCCGTGGACTGGCTGCGGTAGCGGTCAAAAGTGTGGAACTTCTGGTTGAGCTCGTGGTAGAGTTCTGAATGCCGTTTCCGGGTGTGCATCACCTTCTAGGGGCCACAGGGCATCAGAGGGTTGCTCCCTGAGGCAGAACCATGATCCCCCCTACCCAGGGCACTCAGCACCCCGGGCCCCCCACATCCCTCCCTGCTGCCAGCCCCTCTGGGACAAGCCCTGATTCTCTTCACATCGGTGCTACGGGCTTGGGCAGGGAGGGAATCATGGGAAGATCCCACAGAACCCACAGGCTTGGGCTCCTGGGGTCAGGCTCTGCAACAGAGCTTGGACTACTTTTAGGAGTGGGCCCTCCAGGGACAGACACCGCAGCCAGATGTCCCACTGCCCAGCACACACACGGCCCTTACCTCAAAGTCCAGGTCTGAATACCGTAATTTCTTTCGCTGGGAAGGAGCAACAAGGAGGCGGTGGAGGAGAAGAAAGCTTTTTACCACATGCAGGGGCTTTAGAGACAGGAAGCCTGGCACCCCAGGGGTCTGCCCGCTGCAACTCCCCCAGCCCAGGCCCAGAAGTTAGGGACCCTCATGGGGCAGCTTTTTAGGCCTCACTGAACATACACAGACACACATACACGGGTCAAATGGCATGGTGCGAACTTCCAACATGGCAGGCTGCAATGCCCACATGGAATCAGAGCCGATGCTCATTCTCTGTGCCCTAGAGCCCACCCTGCATCCTTCCCCATCTTGCCCCATTCTCTCTGCCAGCCATAGCTACCCCTCCCCTTGGAATCTTCCACTTGTCCTGCAAACACAGGGATTCAGACTTTCAGAAACCTTCCTTTGACCTCACACTGCCCCTTTTCCTGCCAAACCAGGCACTGCCTCCCTGGCCTCTCTGCTCCCTCATGCCTCTCCTGGCTCTCCTTGTCCCAGACCACTTTCAAGGCCCCCGTAAGCTGTACCGCACCCAGTGCTACTCAAGAAAGAGGCCTGAGAGTCTTAAAATGTTGGCACAGGAAGACTCATGAAGCCAAGGCCAACTTTCCCAGGTTACAGATGGGGAAACTGAGACCCAGGGAGGTGAAGGGAATCGCTCCCAGGCCTTCGAAGGTGGTACTAGGACCACCATCTGGATCTCCCAGGCCTGTGGACGTGCTGAGCACCATGGGCCCATGGCACCCACTCTCCTGGTTTTCCTCTCCTCTCCCTACCTGCTTTCTCCCCACTGCCCACCCTGGCTTCTCTAATACTAGGCACTCACGCTCTGCCCTGGCACCTTATCTTGCCTTTACCACACATCATCCTGTGTATCCTCCTCATCCTGGCCGCATCTCTCTTTCTGGGGGCAACAGGGCACCTCTCCCTGTCTGACGCCCCACACGCACTGCACGTGCAGCTCACACCAATGGAATGCACTTGTAATTCCCTGCCCAAACCTGCTCCTCCACGCATCACAGTTGCCCACGCCAGAATTCTGGATGTCATCCTTGACCCCTCAAAGTGCTGCTGCATTTACTGCTGCCTCCCACACAAGGAGCCTGACGTCCGCCCTCATCAGTGGCCAGCAGGCAGGTGTCCATAGAACAAAACCCGCCATGACGCCAAGCGCGCCCTTCTCCGACGCTGGTGTTGTGTTTTGTCTTTGTTACGCCTTCCTGTTTTTGCCATCTGTGGCAGGAGCAGGCACCAAATGTTCCAGAAACATTTGGGGAGAAAAACCAAACTTGCGAGCCCCCTAGCTACTAACTTAATTTTCATTGTGTGGAGGATGGGGAGTGGGTTTCTGAGGCCGAGCAGGAACAGTCAATTGTGGCTAAGCCATGACTCTGGCCTCTTTCCTTAACCACACCCACTTCATGACTCCAATAAAGTTGTAGAATGTTCTAGAGTTCCACAGCAGGTCACTACTGTCTGTCTGTTCCCAGGGATCCTCTGCAGGGAGCAGACCTGAGGAGGCCAGCGGAAGGTGGAGCATTCACAGAACACACACAGGCAGGGACCCAGAGGGGTTTGCTTTTCCCAGGAAGAGATGGTCAGTTATCACAGGCCTGTGGGCGGCGCCTGCAGCTGATTTCAGGGACGCTAACAGCAGCAATCCCCAATTATCTAGCACTTTCTACTTGCTCCACACGAAGATAAATGCTTTGCATCACTCAATCCTCAAAACTACTCTACGAAGAGACTGCTACATTATCCCCACTTTGCACACAAGAAAACTAAGGCTCACTGATCTCACTGCCAATCACAGAGTCCAGACTGGAACTCAGACCTGCGTGATGCAGAAGCCCAGGCTCACACCCTATGATGTGGCTTCCCCAACAGCATAGCACACTGCCTGAGCCACAGTCTCCTGAAATGAGGACTCATCCCAACCAGTCACCCCAAAGTAGGCCCTAAAGCAAGTACGAACGAGTCGAGAAGCGCACTTCCAGTGCATGAAGTCCCAGCGTGTCTGAGGGATTCACAGACCCCACAGAGCTGCCATGAGCAGAAACAGAGGGAGAAATGCTCAGTGTACCCACCCCCAGTGACTTTTACAAAAGGCTGCTCTGGGGAGGTTGAGGCTGTCCCTTCCTGGCTGCAGCCTGTGATTGACACACAGTCTCTGACACAGAGTCTCAGACACACACCCCATTCCCTACAGCCCCTCACCTCCAGGGAGCCCATCTTCATGGTAGAGCCAGGCACGGTGCGAGGCATGGTCCGGCTGCGCTCCCCTGGCTCGGGCACTTGGCGGGCGCTGGGTGTCGGTGGTGGCGGTTGGAAGGTCATTCCATAGGGATTCTGGAGAGACCCATAGGCAGGGCCCAGCCCCAGGCCCGAGTGGTCCACGGACAGGAAGCTGGGGTAGCCTTCAGTGTGGGCCACTGTCTTGGCAGCCCGCCGGGGGGTCCCCTCCGGCCGAGCCCTGGGGGCATCCTCACCGCCTCCACCCCCACCACCAGGCTGCAGGCTCAAAGTCCGCCGAGGCAGCACCATGTAGTCCCCCTCAGAGCCCGGCTCAGTGGGCCGCAGCCATGTGAGGTCCAGCTGCCGCAGGCCGCCCTCCCCACACATGTACACAGGGTTGGCCTCCTGCGGGGGCGGCGGCTCCCCCAGCCCTGGTGAGGCTGCCATGGGCACCAGGATATTCCCAGGCAGTGGTGAGAAGCTGAGGCTGCCCTCAGGGCCCACGAGGCAGGACTTGGGCTCCTCATCCTCATCCAGGGACAGGCGGGATAGTGTGCCCGTGATGGTGGACGGGTTGCAAGTGTTGACCTCCTTGAACAGAACTGGGGGCAGGAGTGGGAGGGAGGGGGTGAGTCCTGAGGAGAAGGAACCTCCAGATGTCCTAGCCCAGGCTGGGGAGGTACCAAGCCTCTGCGCTTGGACAGGAAAGGAAACTGGGTTCTGGAGAGATGGCTGGGTGGTTGGTAATCTCTCACATACAAGAGGGGTTAAGAAGACAATGGCTCCAAAGTCCCCACAGTGAGACAGGGCAAGAAACAAAGACAAGGCCCAGCTCCCAATGTCCTGGTGCAGGTCCCGACTTTGACCCCATAGCCCCAGGGCTGTCAAAGGGCTTTGTCTTCCCACCTCCCTGTGCAGCAGTTCCCCAGGAGACAGAAATGGAAAGCAATTCTGGTAAGAATCTGGAAATCATATAATAACGTAACACTCTGTACCGGGGTCCTGCTAAGGACTCGATGTTCCGTGATTCAGGCATGCCCCTGAGCCTCCAACCTGCCCTGGGAGGACAGTATTCTCTCCTTTACAGGTGTGTTCACTGAGGCTGAGAGAGGCAGGTTGTTTGCCCAGGGTCATACAGAAAGGGACATTCGCAGCCTTGTATCCAACTCAGGGCTGTCTAACTTGGAAGCTGGACTCCAGCAGCCAGAACTCCATCAGGCCCTCCCATGATGGGGCTCGGGGCCTCCCATTCTCCAACCCTAGGGCCATTCTCAGCTCTGTCACAGCACACTCACCTGTTTGACAAGCCAGATCCACATCCTTTTCAAAGTCTGACTATAGGCGGAAAGGGAGGGGCAGGTGGGCAGAGGGAGGATTAATGTAACAGGGTGGGAGGAGGCTCAGGCTCTCCCCAGCCAGCTTTGCCCAGTCTGCCTGCCTGAGGGTTGCCCATGGCCCAGTCCACAGCCCAGCAGAGCCCAGACATGGTCTACCCCAGCCCTACCTGATGGCTGGGAAAACTGAATGGGGGAAGGATTTCCCAATGCCACCCATGCATTAGTGGCTGAGCCTGAATCAAACCCAATCCCTATCCCAACCCTGCCATGGATGGGGAAGGTAAATGGTCTAGGGCAGGAAGACTGGGGTGTGGGGTGCCCAGAATCTGCCCAGGCCCTGCCCAGGCCCCTAACTCACCAGGATCTGCAGCTGCCCGTTCTTACATGAGTCAGGGGAGTCTTCGCTCTCATCAGCCCGGCACACCCCCATCTGGCACTTCACCACATCCTGGACCTGGGGACAGAGGGCGCCTGCTAGGCCTGCGGCCACTGCAGGGCCCCCGACCACAGCTGGCTGTGCTTCCCACCCCAGATGCCCAGGCAAGTGTGGAAAGCAGGCAACACATCCAGCCTTGGGGAAGGTGATGACACCTGGGTGGGGTGCAAGGGGAGGAGGAGACCCAGGATGCCAAGGATAAGCATAGGGGACAGTTGTGGGTACCCCGGGCTATCAGCTTCCACACTAAGGGCTGCCCAGATGGGGCCTGGAACACCCTGGTCAGGGCCTTGACCCTCCCGGTCTGCACAGCGGGGAAGAAGCCAGGGGCCCGGCAGGTGTGGTGGGTACACAGGGGCGGGAGAGGCCCAGCCCCACCTCTCGGCGCAGGAAGCAGTGCACAGCAGTGATGACAAAGCCCTGCGCAGAGTTGAAGACAGCAAAGAGGGCCTGGAAGAGGACGGAACGGCGGTCTGTCATAGCCAGGACGGCAGACATCCAGGTGAGCGCCAGCAGGGGCAGCACCACGCAGGAGCTCCAGAGTGAGGCCCTGAGGGGACAGTGGCAGAGCCCATCAGAGTGATACTCCAGGGGACAGGATGGCTTGAGCCTAGGCCTCCACTCAGCTGGAGCCCTTCAGCTGCCCAAGACTGGGAGGGCCCCAAACCCCAGGGCCTCAGTAATGTCCCCAAGCAGAGAGGGGCTGAGGAGCCGGAGCCAGAGAAACAGAACAGAGACCGAAAGCAGCGAACTACAGGGTCAGAGCAGGGACCAGGAAGGTGGGGAGGGACACACAGACACAGTGGGACCGAGCCACAGACAGTGGAAAGGGACGGGGAGAAAGAAGAGGAGGTAGACAGAAGCAGATGCTGTTTCAGCCCCAACTTGCACAGAATCACCTGAGAAGCTTTTTTTAAAATGCAAAGGGCCTGGATGGCATCCCCAGAGCCTAAATGGGTAGGCTAGGGAGGGGGACTGGAAGAGGGACAAAAAGACAATAACCAGTGAGAGAACGCATGCGACAGAGACACCCAGACAGAAAGATTAAAGAGGCAGAGCACGCCGGGGACATCCAGAGCATGAATCCTCAGGGAGAAGACCGGGGGCCAGGACCAGTGAAGCAGAACTCCCCACACACACAGAGAAGGTGCCAGGCTCCCAGGGACTGCTCAGAGCCTTGGGCAGAAGGATCAGAGCTGGGGCTGAAAGCTGGGGTTGGGGCCTCCCTGCCAGTGGAGGGCAGAAAAAAAGCAGATGGGGCCTGGCATCCGAGCCATTCCCACCCCTCCCTAACCTGCTACAGCACACGAGGGACAGCGGGGCCACCATACCCTCCCGGGCCAGGTGCCACACTCAGCCCACTCTCCTTTGCAAACACCCCCAGTGGGAGAGTCAGGCACAGCTCTGGGCAAGGCAGAGGGTGGCACCATTCCACAGAGACAGCCGGGGGAGGCCAAGGCAGAGAGATGGGCAGGGGGCCAAGACCTGCCCTAGGAAGAGCAGTTCAGGGCTGTTCAGCCTGGCAGGGGGCGGGCACAATGGGCTCTGAAGCCCCTGGAGGTGGAGCCAAGACCAAGAGAGGGTCTAATCACAGTAATAAGAGCTACGCTGATTAACCACCAATTCTCTACCAGGCCCTACACTGAACACTTTACATATATTACTTCAAATCGTGATCAAAATAACTCCAATTAACAGGCATGGGATTATTATCCCAATTTATAGATGAGGAAACTGGAGTGTGCCCAGCTGGGCAGGGAGAAGCACAGTTGGGATACAAACACAGCTTGACCGACTCCAAAGCCCAAGCATTGAAACAGCTAGTGCAGACAGGGTGAGGGAGGCAGACGGCAGCCCAAGACAGAGGGAGCTTCGCAGTGACGGTGCCAGCCGCCTCCAGAGGCTCTGAGCTCCCTGACCCTGCAGGTGTGCAAGATAAAGCTGGACCTCACTAAGCAGGGAGGCTCGGATGGATTTCAGGCCCTGGGTGGGAGGCTGGGCCTACGGTCTTTGTGGATTCGTCTCACCCTCGCATAACTGGGATTTTAAGATTCTCAGATGCTAGGGCGGGGGTCTCAGTGAATTAATTCTCTACCTCCATGATTCTCTGTCTCCAATTGAGGGTGAGATTCAATGCCTCTGAAATGCTAAGTCTCAGATTCTATGACAGATGATAAGACTCAATGATTCACTCATTCTAACATGCTTAGCTTCTGATTGTCTTATTCTAAGATTCTATCATTCTAATTCTAAGGTTCTATAGCTCAAAAATTCTAAGGCTTAAGATTGTCTGAGTCTCTGTAGGTTGGGGGTGTGGGGCTGTGCAGGATAGAACATTAGCTGGGAGTGAGGGCAGGGGCGGGATCCAAGGGTGGGCGAAGGAACTGGGCACCTGTGGGAAGCACAGACATCCACTCCTCATCGCCTTGGCCACCTCTTGCCGAGCCCTTGAGAGTGTGTGGCGGCTGGCAGGAAAGGGTAAGCTTTCCAGGGCACTGGGCTGATATCCCTCCTCCTCCCCCCACCATGGGCACTGCCCCCCCAATTCCTTTGCCCCACCCACCCCCACCGCCCCCCAGGGGGCACGACTAACATGGCGTTCCTGGCCGAGGCTGAGCTGAGCAGGGGGCTGGGGACCGCTCCACACGCTGAGCAGGGGAGGAGCAGGCTGGCCCAGGGGCACCGCTCCGACCTCGGGGGCGGCACAGACATGGGAGAAGGAGGGGAAACACATGGGAAGCCGGGAGATGGGGCAGAGTGAGCCCCGAGTGGGGTGGGAGGGGAGGGCAGACGAGAGAGAGAGAGCTGGGTTAGGGTGGGTGAGGGGCTGCGGCTGAGCACTCCAGGTGCCCACCTTGCCTGCAACCTTGATGCAACCAAGGTTGGGGAGCCCCGGTCGCATCATCGAGCCCTGAGTCTCCAAGAGCACCCCTGTCCCTCCCTCCCTGCACCATTTCCAGAAAGGCCAAGTCTCAGAGGCCCTCCCCTTACCCGGCCCTCTGCTTCTTGGATTTGTCGGAGATGCCATCACGTGCCATGAGCTTGTTGAAGACGATGATTCCGATGAGCATGTTCACCTGGGGGCCCAGTGGAGTGGAGTGGGGGAGACAGGATCACCAGGTGCCCTCCTGGCAGGGAAATTCCCACATGGGAGCTGGAGTGCAGGGAGGAGGTAGAGGGAGAAACAGGATGACCCTCTGGGGCCACGCCCCTTCCAGGATGCTGAACGGGCACGTACCAGGACAATGACGGCTGCAGGGCCCACAAAGGCGTAGAGCAGGCCGCCCTCCAGGGAGAGCCAGCAGCTGGGGTGGGGGAGAAGAAGGGTGTCAGACACCCGGCAGCCCCCCTCCCCACCCTCAAACACCACCCCTCAGTCCTCCCAGGCTGCCATGCCCGCATGGCCAGTGCAGTCTGAGCCCCACACAGTGAGAGTGATCCACTGGCTCCTGCTGAGCCTCGGTTTCCCCTCCAACAAAGGTCCAGAATTAGGCTCATCCCCCAGGGCTCCCATGGGGATGACACAAGGTTGACTCCTGAGCTAAACAGTCCCTTAGGGATTACCCAGTCCCAGCACATTCCCTCAGTCAGGGAAACTGAGGCTCAGAAATGGGGAGGAACTTGCCCAAAGACCCACAACAGGCATGGGCCAGGATTTCAGCTGGCCGCCCAGTCCAGTTCCCTAACAGATCCACTAACCCCTACCACCCACCACGGGAGGCCCACGTACTAGCTGGATGTACCGTATCCTTTGGTTCGGGTAAAGCCAACAGACACGGCCACCACCAGGGCAGGCAGACCTGGGGGAGTGGGGGCGCCAGAGTGAGACGGCTGCTGGTCTTCAGGGACCCCTTGTTCTCCCAGACTCCCAGCCCAGCTGACCCCTGTGCCCAGAGAGCTGGGCCAGGGCCAAAGCTGAACCTCTCTGGCTGCCCCTGCCCACCAAGGCCCAGCAGCAGAGTCCAGCACTGGCCCTGCTCACCCCAGCCCAGGCAGAGGAAGCGCTTGCGAACGAGGCGGGTGCGCATCCGCCCAATGACAGCCAGGTAGGACTGCCAGGCCTCGGTAAGCACCCAGCAAAAGGAGGAGAGAAAGAAGAAGTGCAGGAAGGCAGCCGTCATGGTGCACACGCCCTGCAGGGAGAGGGAATGGGAGGGAGTGGCCCTGAGCAGCCGCCAGGGCAGGAGGCGCCGGGCTTCCCACGCCCGCTGCTGGGCGCTGCCACAGCCGCCCACCTGAGCCCCGCCCCCCACAGAGCCCTGCCAGGCTCCCCCGCCTTCCTGCACCCACACACAGCACGACACGGGCCTGGTGACACACACACAGCACTCGGCATCTAGGGAGGCGGGTGGGCAGGCCACCCACGCACAGACGCGGCTGGCAGGGAGGGGGACAGACATGAGCACCTGCCACATCACAGCCGGGCAGGCCCCGTGCCTGGCGCTGTGCAGAGAAGGCCAAGGGGGCATAGGGAACAGTCTGCACAGGTCATCCACAGGTAGGTGGCAAAGGAGGCCTCACTCGGGCTCCCACATGCTCACAGACATGAGGAGGCCCAATGCCACCTGCCCAAAACACACCCGGCGCTCAGCTCACACACACATTTGCTGATGTTCACAGACGTTCCTCACTTGAGTACACACCCCCTCTCCAACGTCTTCACATACGGTCTCACACACTATTTCATACACACTCTAATCTCAGCATGGGGCACGCACACGCCACCACTGATGGACATACAAGCAAACACACACACTGCGCTCTCCACCCTCACCCCTCCACCCTCCACCCCGCTCACACCCTGGCAGCCCTGGAAGCCTGCACCTGCCTTGCTCAGCACCCGGGACTGGCCCACGAGGATCAGGATGTTGGATGCCAAGATGGAGAGGCAAAAGTTCAGCAAGATGATGGAGCGCTCAGATTTTATGAACCTGCCGGGGCACAGCAGGCAGAGACAGAGGCGCTGGCTGCCCTACCCGACCTGGTGTGGCTGGCCACCGCCCGCGCCCCTCCCCCCTCACCAGCCACCAGAGCCAGGTGTCAGACCTACCTCCAAAAGGCAGCATAGATGGCGAGCAGAGTGAGCAGTGCCATGCACGACACCGCACAGCCGATCACCAGGGGGACCGAGGGGGAGCCCGCCAGCTCCAGGGTCTGGAGAAGATGGGCAGACGGTCAGATGGGCAGACGGTCAGATGGGTAGATGGTCAGATGGGTTGCTGGGAGAGGGGAGCTGCAGGGGTGCCCCGTTCCTTCATCTACCACAGACTGGCATACCCATAGGCAGAAGGGCAACACCTTCTAGATGTTGTACTCATGCATGCACAGAACAGACCCAGGTATCCATGTGGACACATATTTACGCTCAGTCACCTGCACTCTTCCACACACCCAGACACACACATGTGCACACACACACACACAACTGGCCACTGCTGCATACCCCCAGGTAAATATCATTGCTGTCAGCACAATCCCAGGGACACAGACTTCCACGTGCAATCCCACAAGTGCACCTGCAGATGCACATTCAGAATCACCCAGGTGCCTGCCAACACCATCACTGATGGCTGCTGGAAGCCCAGGGCCTCCTCCCTTGTCCAGCCCAGGCACCTCTGTTCCACTCACCAGGTCCTTGGGCGGCTGGGCCAGCACAGCAAAGGTGGACAGGTGCTGGCACTGGCAGCGGGTGTGAGCTGCCTGGGTCTCCAGGGTCTGGCAATTTTCAGTGTCCCAGTCTCCTGAGCTGGCATCTCTTGGGTAGGGGAGAGATTCAGTGAGCCCCAGGCCAGCTACATGGCCTTGCCCCCAGTCCTGGCCACTGCCCAAGGACAGGCTAAATCCACAGTAAGGCCACATCCACAAGGCAACAGCAGGGAGGCCCAGGATATGTTCTTGACCCCTTAGGCTAGGATGGCACCAAAAATCCCTCTTGCCTTTCAGGCAGGAGACCCCTTTCTGACAAGGGGCCCTAGGGCTGCTCCCTTCCTCACCCAGAGGAGCCACCCAACTCACGCTCTGGAGTAGTCCCAGCTGGCGCAATGGGGATCCGTGGTGCCCTAGGGAGCAGAAGACATGAGTGCAGTCTAAAGAGGGAAGCTCACCACACCCCACCACTGCCCATGCCATGGGGGCCACAGCACCTCCCACACAGGTCCAAGGTTCAGCCCACCATCAGGGACAGAGTGCGTCCCACCAGGCAGGCCTCTGGCCACCCAGGTTGGGGTGCACCCAGGGTTTCTGTGTGGATCTCCACTCACATTGATGATGTAGGAGAGCTCCACAGTGATGAGGGGCTCGGCTGGAGGCTGGGTAGGGGGGCGCACAGTCACTGTCATCACCCGCGATGTGACAGCCAGTGGGGGCCTGGGGGACAGGTACTGAAGTCAGCTCCTGCCAGCAGGTGCCAGCCCCCATCAGAAACCCTGAAGCCGCTTTGGACTGGGGGGGCAGAGGTTTCCAGGGAGCCAAGACCTAGGGGAAGGCCTAGCTCAGTGGGGTCCAGGACCTCGGGTGAGGTCTAGAGCTCTGTCCATCACGCCCTGGGTGGCAGCCCAGCCTCTGGGAGCAGCATGGATATATTTGAGAAGCACGTATCCAGAGCCAGGCAAGGGGTTCCTGAAGGCGGAGGAGGCTGCCGTGGATCTCTGCAGCCAGCACTGGCTCAGTCCTCCTTCCCTTACCTGGGCCTTCCTGGACCCTCAGCAGCCCCATCCACCCATCCCCAGGACTCACCTGGGGGGCGGCAGGATGAGGCCAAGGGTGCGGTAGAGCACAGCACCAATCACAAAGTAGGAGGACTCATCGGGGTCTGCTGGGAGGAGGCGCTGGTGGGAGTGGCCCGGGCCAGGGGGCACCGTTCCTGGGCCCCTCCCCCTGCCAGGGCTGCCTGCTGCCCCAGATGTAGCTGGCTTCCCTGGGGAGGAGAGGCTGAGCACCTCCTTGGGCAGGAAGAGGCGGTCCTCTGAGTGCCGCACCCAGTCCTTCATGCCCCGGCGGCCCCGCATGGGGAACGTGATGTCGCTGGACACAGCTGAGACGGGCTCTCGCTGAATGCTGATCACTGCAGTGGGGGAAGGGTGGGCAGAGACAGACAGAGGGGCAGAGGCAAAGGGTGGCAGACCAGGGGAAGAGATAGATGTAAGGGAAACACGTACCAGGAAAGGAAGATGAGGACACCGAAGTTGGTACAAACACAGAGACAGAGAGATGTACACAGAGAAACAGACCACACAGAGAAGAAGGAGAGGGTGGAATGTGGAGAGAAAGACACAAATATGGGGTTAGGTAGAGGAAAGACGGAACCTCCTGAGTTCTGGCACATTCAGGACCCCCTCCCCTGCCTGCCTCCTTCTACCTAGATTGTCCGTGACAATCAGAGAGCTCTGGAAGGCCTTGAGAGCATCGCCCACCAGGTGAATGAAGTCCTCCACGACACGGAGCAGGTGCACAGAGCCAGGGGACACCTGGGGACAGAGAGTGTGTAAGGGTCCAAGGCAGGGTGGGTCACGGGAGGAGAAGCTGGCAGCTGTGCCCCGCACCTGCTGAGCATCGTCCCACTTCTCCTTGTTTTCCGCATCCACCATGAAGCTCACCACCTGGAAGAAGCGCTGGGGAGAGAGCAATGAGTGGCAGGGGGTCCTAGCCCCAGGGAACAGGGGGTTTCCCCCACTACAGCCTAACTTGCTGCCTCTGCAGCAGACTCTGCCTAGGGGCCTGACCTCCCCCTTCAGTCTGGGCCTTCTCCACCCTCCGCCCTCCTTCCTCCTAGGCGGTACCTGCACATCATCAGCTGAGGGCACGTAGGTGGCCCTCTTAAAGGTGTCAGTGACATTCCTCAGAATGTCCACAGAGAAGAGCAGGTCCCCACTATAGTAGGTGCGCCGGGCCAGTAGCTCCTGCAGGCTGCGCACCACCTGTGACATGCCCTCGCCCGCCAGCATGCGCTGCCCCTTGGCCAGGTGCTCCCTAAGCTGTAGGTGATGAGGGGGCCACAGTCACTGAAGTGTCAGGAGCTGGAACCAGACCCTGGCCCATCCCACTCCAGTCCACCCACTGCTTGCATCCACGGGGAAAGAAAGGGGGAAAGGGTCAAAGAGGCTCAAAGGGGCGCACAGGGGAGACAGAATCCGAGAAAGAGACTCATAAAGACAGAGAGAATCCCAAAGGGTACTTTAAAAAAGACTGAAATAGAAACACCTAGAGAAAAAAAGGTGTTCAGATGTACATATGAAAGATATAAGCACAGTATGGGAACAGGGTACCTCCCCATCCCAAAGGGGTCATGTGTAATGAGTGTGTATGTGTGGGCGAGTGCGCGCACGCACGCGTGCGCGCACACACACACACACACAGTCTCTCTCTTTCTCTCTCTCTCTCTCTCAACACAAGCTCTAAATGCATTCACACAATTAATACCCAGTTACAGTCAAACGTGTACACATATTTGCTGACACTGCTCTTACCCTATGACTGGCCCTGGGCTGGGCGCTGGGGACACAAAACTAAATTCAATGTTTCCCCTGCCTTCCAGGAGGCCCCAGTCTAGCAACACACACAGATACTTGGATGAGCACCTAATGACTGAGGAGCTCATTCTGCAGGAGTGCAGAGGTAGGCACCAGGGATAAAAGAAGACACTTGAGAGTCAGGCCTTGAGGTATGAGTAGGAGTTTGCCAGACAAGGAGAGGCACAGCCAGGCAGAAGTGGGCACAGCATATGCCAAGGCACGTGGGAATGAGTGAGAATCACGCTCCCTCCACCCCTTAGCAGAGTCTGAGACAGATTCTGCGGTGCCCCAGCCCAGCAGGGCGCACTCACTGACAGATACAGGTAGCGGTACTCATGGGAGATGCAGCGAGCAAAGCTGGGCAGCCCCCAGTATGCCACGCCTTGGGCACTGAGGAGACAGCGGCGGCTGGCAGACCCTGCAGGGCAATAGGACAGAGGTCTGGGCATGGGCACTGAGCTCTCACCCACACTCCTCCACACCTCAGAGAGGCTGGGGGTGCAGAAGGGGGGCAATGAGAAGGGGGGCAATGAGAATGAACGGGGAAAGCCACCTGCCCCTTACCTGAGGCGTTCGGGGGGCACTTGTTGTAGATGATCTCACCAGCAGCTGCCTTCTTCCACGTCATCAGCATCACGTACTCATCCCTGCACATCTCGTGGAAGGCTGTGGGTGCAGGAGTAAGGCTCAGCTGGGCCCGTACATGGGGCCCCCAGCCCCCAGGGTCATTAGGGCAGTACCTGGACACCTCTTCTCACTACAAGGCTTCACCTCCTCTCCGGTGCCCTCGCAGGGGTAGCCCTGCGTGCCCGTGGCCTGGCACATGCGGAAGCGGCGCTGCCAGCCTGTGTCACACGTCTTAGAGCACAGGCTCCATGCATTCCATGGCCCCCACTTGCTATCAGTGGCTGTGGGAGAGGGGAGGCATGAGTGGGCCCAGGTGCCCCCATGGCCAGAGCTGCCACCTGCCACCCCTGGGCCAAGCACTCACCCGGGCACTCGAGGTTGCTGCACTCCCGGGTGTCAGTGAGGGCACCCGTGCATGTGGCCCAGGCTGGGCCCGCCACACTGCACTTCCGGCTGCGCTGCTGGGTCCCATTGGCACAGGACGTGGAACATGGGCCCCAGGGACCCCATTCTAGCCACTGGCCTTCCACTGCATGGGGAGACACAAGCAGGGGTGGCTGTTGAGCAGGATGTGTGAGGGCTGGTGGTGTGGAGCACCAGAGGGAGACCCAGAGCCTGCTAGGCATTCAGATTTGAGCCAGGCCAGACCCACTGGAGTGGGGAGGGGAGAGGGTTATGAGGGAGGCTGGAGTGAGCAGGTAGTGCCTGGGCCTCATGCTGCCTGCCTGCCACCAGTTCCAGAAATACAGGACATCTCTCCTCTTAGCACCAGGCACAACTCACTTCTGGCTAAGGAAAGGGGCTGCAGGGGTGTCTTCTGATCTTTGCCAGTACTTCAGCCGAACTTTGTGTCCTCTCACAGTCCAGCTGGCCATGCACCAAAATGCAAGGGCAGCCCACGACTTGGAGAAAGAGTGGTCCCCTTTTGATGGAGTCACAGGGTACTAACTCAAGTCAGGGCTAGGGGGTCACCTCGCACACAGGCAGGCATACTTCTCCAGTCTCCCCATGCTTGGTCAAAGTTTACGGGGCTCCCAGGGGCAGGTCACTGGACCTGATTGCCTCCCCAGGTCTCCCAACCCCCCACCGGGCTGGCCAGCGCCCTCATGGAAGCCCACGGGCGCTACTGACCCGGGCAGGCAGCCATACTGCAGAGCTTAGTCTGCAGCTCGGGACCCTCGCAGGCCTTGCCGCCGTGCTGGGGGGGCACGCAGGTCCGCATCCGGCTCCGGGACCCCCGCCCGCAGCTGCGGGAGCACAGGCTCCAGGACCCCCACTCCTCCCACACGCCGTGCACTGCAAGGAAGCACGTGGCCGGTGGCTGGGCGGCACCATGGCCCCGCCCACCACCAGAGACTGCCCATCCGCCCACCAATCAGGAGCTCCGCAGCTCTGCGGCTGCTCCTCATTGGCTCTGCCCCGGGTTCTGTTGACAGGGGGATCTCCCAGGGCCCCACCAAGGCACGACCCTTCGAAGGGATGTGCAAGACCAAGGCTTCTGGTCCTAATTCACATAGGATAGCCCCTGTGGACGCCTGGACAAGGAGGCCAGGACCAACAGAGGAGGAGAACCAGGGGTCCTCTCCTGAGGGCACAGGAAAATTCAGGAAAGGACCCAGGATCCACGCCATTCCACCCCTCCCCACCCCACCCCTAGACCCAGAGCCTCAATACAACACAGCAGTCCGGGGGCAAGAGAAGTGCCCTTCCCAGCCCCAAGCGCATAGACACACAAATAAACATGAACCTCTACACAGACACCGACACACCGAGCTCACACTCTGGAACACAGCTTCGCCCCAGGGCTTTGCAAACTCCTGCCACACCCCCAGGTACCAAGAGCCCTTCCCAGGTAGGCCCTGCTCTAAATCCACAATACCACTGGCATGGCCTAGGCCCCACTTCACCCCCTCAGGGAGCAAGGAGCAGGACTGGCTGAGGCTGCCCTGCCCTTACTGTCTCAAGCAAGCACATGCATTTCCTTAACAACTACACACTCAACTGAGGGAGGCTTGGGGGAGGCTCCCTGGAGAGGGGGAGTCCAAAGGAGGGAGGGGAAGGTCAGGGAAGTGGCATTTGTCTTAGATCTTGAAGGACAGGCTGAATTTGAATAGCCAAGGTGGGGGAGGAAGGATAGGACAAGAATCAGCAAATGCAGGGAGGTGGGAAAGTGCGCAAGCTACCGATATGGCCAGAGCGGAGTGGGTAAAAACATGAGCCTTGGTTACCAGGATGCAGGCCTTGGGGGAATGATGTGCCCAGAACCGGACCCAGTAGCATGGGCCCTGGTCTGATCCATCTGTGCCCCCAGTGCCCTGCGCCAGGCTGGCATGGTACACAGTTGGGCATGGTGTGGGGAGCAGCCACATTTATTGAATGAAAGGAGGAGGCAACCAACCATTTTGGAGATTAATCTGCCCGAGTCCCAGGCAGGACCTAACCCTGCAGGCAGATGGGGTGGGGAGGAGGATGGGCCTACCTGGGCAGGTGGCTGAATTGTTGCAGGGCCGGGTCTCCCGCAGGGGCCCGCTGCACAGGGTCCCATAGGGGGAGGACACGCAGGAGCGGGTCCGCACCTGCAGACCCTGCCCACACGTCAGGGAACACACGCTCCACGGGGACCACTCCTCAGCCGCCGGGTCGCCTACGAGAGAGGGACAGCGTCGGCGGCAGGGGGCACCTCCCAAGCACTCAGTCTCATAGGGATAGGGGGAGCGGCAGTAAGGTGGGGGCAGGCATCAGAGGGATCCTCCTACCCTGACCCCAAGTAACAGACTCTTCAGGAGGCCACCCAGCCCTTCCCACAAGCTTCATGTGGCACAGATGCGACTGAACTCCAGGACAGAGACAGACAGGTACACACCAAGCACACACGCTACCAGACACACACAGTCGGGCCCCCGCCGCAGAGGAAGGGAGGCGGGCCCGAGTTACCTGTCTGTGCCATGTATAGCCCAGGCTCATCTGCAGACCTCGGCCACTGGGTTTTCACTTTCGGTTCCTCTTCCGGCTCCTCACCTGGAACACGGAGGTGGTGGCAGGGGCTCAGCAAAGGCCAGCTAGGTCCTGCCACAGTGGCACAGTGAAGGCAGCCTTGCTTGCCCTCCGCCTGAGGGCCTGGAACCAACTGCATGATGCTCTCTCAGGATCACATCCTGCCCTCTGTCCCACCACTATTGCTTCAGACAAGGAAACTTCGGTCCAGAAGGCTACACAGGACTAGCTCCTGGCCTCACAGTCATCTTTTCCACCTCTTGCCTCAGCCAGATGTGGGGGAGATTTAAGGGACACGGCCACCCACATGAAAAAGCTCTGGGAACGCTTCTGTGCCAAGTGCGGCCCATGCCCCTCTCCTTTAGTCCTCTCACTGCAAAGAAGAACCATCATCTCTGTTTACAGATAAGGAAACTGAGGGCTAGAAAGGGGAAGTGCCTTGTCCAAGAGCACACAGCTGCATTTGCTCCTCCACTGGACTGACTTCTAGGGACTGAAGAAACATCCAAGCTGAGCTGCGGCAACCCTGGCCCCGAGCCTATCTCTGAGATACAGTTCATGCTCCTCAAGCAGCACTGGACTATGACCTGGAGGCACAGGTCAGAATGCCACCCCATGAGACCCAAGGGGCCAAGGGCAGGTGCCCACATGCAACAGACCTTTCTCCTGCTGGCCCTGAGGCCAGGAGAGCACCAGGTGCTTGAGGAGGCCAGGCTACCTTCACCCTGGCCTCACCAGGCTCTCAGCTGTCCTGATTTATGTGTCTGGTCTAGGCCTTGGAAGCACTACTAGCCCTGGTGGCTTCCATTCTCCAAAGCCTGGCCCTCCTGCACAGACATGAGCTCATCAGGGCTCTCTCTCACAATGGGGTGTCAGGGAGGGGCAGACATGGGCGCAGAAGGGAAAGGCCCAGCAGCCTCTGCATGAGCAGGTGGGACTGGAAGAGCCTTTGAGGATGGGCTCACCCCATGCTGTCCCCAGAGTATTAGGTGCTCCTCTCCCCCACCTCCAGGCTCCTTCCTAATCCTAAAAGCCGGCAGCACGTGACAGGCGCTCTGAGTGTGAAGAGAGCCACCAGGGCTGCCTCTTCCTGCCCCCTGCTGCCCAGCCCAGGCACAGCAGCTGAGAGGAAGCTCTTTCTCACCAAGCATGAGGAGCTGCCACCCTGAGCAAACCCGCTGCCTGGGGGCTCGGAACTGCCATCCAGCTCAGCCTCTGGTCTCATCCACTCTGGGGCCTTTCCCTCCACGTCAGTCACCAGCCCCAGGGCCTGAGCCACACGGTCCTTGAAATTTCTCCATCTCTGAAACCTGGACTCCCAGAAGAGCTTTGGAGTGAGTTAACCCTGGATCCCAAATGGGGTGTTGACACTGACCAGCTGCGTGGCCTCAGGCAGGTCTCTTCACCTCTCTGACCCTGCTTTATCCTCTGGAGAACAACATTCATTATACTCCGTCCCCAGGACTCATGAGGACCCCCTGCCAGGAGGGCCCTGAACCCCTCGGCCCCCTGCTTGGCACACGGCAAGAACTCAGAAGACAGTCGCTCTCGTTTATTTTTATCATCTCCCTTCTCTTCACAGCCTCCACCCCTTCCAGCCCCTCGTGTGCTACCCGAGCCTACTCCCTCTGAATAGCATCTGCAGTTCCACTTGGCCCCTGCCTCTCTTGGGACCACAGAGGAGGTGGCAGGGCCAGGCATGCCAGCTCCTCGATCCCCTCCCCCAGCCTTCCGTCATGCCCGCTCAGCCGTCCCCAGCCCTGGAGCCTTGTGACAAGCTACCCTCTCCACGCCCACCCCCAGGCTGCTGAAGAAATCTACGGCTGTGCCAACTGGCACCGTGACAGCTTCAGGGGCTCCACATCCGCTGGGCACCCGGGGCTTCTCAGTGGCCCTTCTTGGCTCCATTCCCTCCTCATTCCCCACTGCGGCCATACTGCACCCTGTCCTCTCTCCTCAAGCCCATCTCTGCCCACTCTCTCAGCGATGACCTCAACATCGGGAGCCCCCAACTTCTTGCCCAGCTTCTCCAACTACCAACTTCCCTGCAGCCCTTCTCCCCACAAAGGCCAGCTCTGTGGCCTGGGCCTGCATCCCCCACCTCCTGCCTTCAGGAGGGCTCCACCCATTATCCCCTCTCATCAGCACCCATCAGCATTCTCCCCTTGCAGCAGCCCAGGAACGGATCCAGGCCTCCTCCCTTCTTGGACAGGCCCTGCTCTGACCCTCTGCTTCCCTCCACCATCAGTGACTGGTCCGCAGCCGGCACTCTGGTTTTTCACCTGACACACCACTTCCTGGCTCAAATGTCACCTCCCCTGTTAATCCACTGCAGTCTGGCTTCTGCCCACATCTCTCTGCTGAACATGCTCTTGATAAAGTCATCAGCACCCTCCGTGTTGCTAAATCCTGTGGACACTTTGCAGACCTGGTCTTGCTTCACCCCTCAGCAGCATTTGGTCCTGTTGACTCGTCCTGCCTTGAAGCACTCTCCTGGTTTCCCACCTCTCTAGCTACTCTGTCCCCATCTCCTTGAGTGGTCTATTTTCCTGCTGTTTCCCATATCAGGAGTCCATGCTTTGTCCTGTTTTCACTGCAAGCGCTCCTCGCAGGCTTAATTAACCCCCTCTGAACCAATGCTCCCAAATCATCATCCCCCGGCCCTGCCTTTGCTGTGCTCCACTCCTGGATATCCTCCTGCCTCCTGAGCAGTTCTCCTGACCATCAAATTCAGCATGTCCAAGAGGCCCACCCTCTCCTCTCAAACTTCTACCTGCTTGTTCCCCCACCCTCTTTGCCTAGAAAACTCCTACTTGACCTTCAAAACCCACCTCAAATGACTTCTCATCTATGGAGACTTCCATATTGTCAACTCCCGAGGCAGAGTTGGCCACCTGCTCTTCTATGTGCCCTCTCATCACAGATGGGTCCATCTTCTGACTGTCAGAAATATCCCCCAATCTCTACCATAAGCCCGCTGAGGGAAGGCTGAGTCCTCTCCTCCACCCCCAGGGAATGCCAGCACAAAACTCAGCCCAGCGAAATACCAAGAAATAAGCACCAATGAATACATTGTTCCCAGTTTCCCCCACAATGGGGCTCACGGGGAATGGTCATTTGTAATCCTGACTCCCCATGCAAAGTATGAGCTCCTTCCCATAGCACCAGCATTCAGATTTGATACGCCAGCCTGCATCAAAGGGACCACTAAGACAGGCTCAAAGACACGGCTTCTGGCCCCTATTTATTCACAAACACTTTGGAGGTGCAAATCCAGCTGAGAGTCCTCCCATCCAGCTCCTGTGTGGGCTTCCTGCCCATCATCATGTCTGGGGCATCTACCAGTCTGGCATCCAGTGCCTACCAAATGTGGACACGTGAGAGACCAGCCTGACCTGCTTGTCGGGGACTCACACCGCTTCCTGTGGTCCCTGTTCCTCTTCTAACCGCTCACGGACCATCTGCTGGCCAGCCCTACAATGTCACAGGAGGGGCAGGGTGAGCAGGGAGCAGGTGGCGGTCAGTGGTTTCCAGAATCCACCCTATTTGAGAATCAGAACATGTCCGAGGTTCAGCTTTTGGATCCCTTTTCTGGCCTCCTGAGCTGGGCCAGAGAGGGGAAGGTACAAGCCCAGGGCCACACAACCAGGCCCTACACTGCCCACCCCTCCATTCCCACCCATCCCACTCAGAGGAGAGGACAGGCCAGCAATTTATCCCCACACAGGGGAGGCTGGTTCTCCCTGGACGGGGAAGAAGACAGGTAAGAGCAGAGGTATCATTTACTGAAACACACACTTAGGCAGCACACACTGTGTGCAGGCCCCAGCCAGCCCTGAGGCCAGAACAGGGCAAGCCACGAGGAAGCTGAGCCAGGCAGGGTCCGAGAGGACAGGAGGGGCCCCCAGAAGGCACGTGAGTACCCCGAGAACTCCCGAGTGTTCCACCCAGTGAGCTCAGCGGCTTGTGGGCCAGGTGCCCCAAGGCCTGCAGTCCTGCAATCTATCAGCTTTCCCATCGGGTTGCCAGTCGTGGGCACAGATGTGCTGCCTGGGACAGGCTTCCTCACTCGACCACCTGATAACCTCATAACTGTTCTGTTCTGAATAAGGCAACGTTTACTAAACAACTCCTACACGCCAGTCACTATGCACTCGGCATCACCCCATTTCATCCTCATCAGGGCTGGTTTCCCCCATTTTACTAAAGAGAAAGAAGGCTCCAAGGTTTCACATTGGAGAGAGCCTGAGGTGGGATTCAAACCCAGGCCTGCCTGACTCCAGAGGCCGTGCTTTTTCCACTGTACTGCACAGGCTCTGACAAAATGCCACTCAACTTGGACCTCCTTGGAGACACCTTCCCTAATTTGCATGGGACCCCAAGTCACTCCCTGCCTCCATCTAAGCCCCTAGTCCTCGCCCCTCTTATCCTGTTTTCATGCTACTGTCTAATTGCTCCTTTGCACACCTGCTCCCCTTTCCCCTGATGTGAGCCTGATTCTCCTCTGTGTAACCTCCAAAGTGAGCCTTGGGGATCCCAGCCTCAACCACACCACTCCCAGCTGAGGAAATCTTCAGTGGCTCCTCCACTGCTACAGCCAGTGTGAAACTCTGAGCCTGGCATGCTCTGGCCCCTGCTGACCTGTCCAATCCTGGTTCCCTCACCCCACTGGGCAGCCAAACACACTGCAAACCCGTATGGACCTGTGGGAAGGGCACAGATTCTGGAGCCAGACACATGTGGGTTTGATTGACAGCTCTGCCACCGTCTTGCTGTGTACCCTTGGGAAAGGCACCTCACCTCTCTGAGCTTCAGATTCTTCAACTGAAGGTAAGGAGGACACTTCCTACCACATAGCTTCATTGTGAGAATTCAGTGAAACCAGAGATGTGGACTGCCTGGAGCACAATCCACTCTCAATGAAAAGGAGATGTCAGCTGAATGCGGTGGCTCACCCCTGCAGTCTCAGCACTTTGGGAGGCCGAGGAGAGTGGATTGTTTGAGCCCAGGAATTCAAGATTACC